TGATTTTAACTGTTTTATTGAATAATCCATGGTATAGACACCGTAAAACACAACTTATTTTCACAAAACCTTTGCTAAATCTCTTCTTAATATCCATCTCTCTCTCTATTCTTCTCCTCTCAGAGTGCCTTTGAGGTTGAGATTTTGAAAAATAAGGTCATTATCCTGCTTAGCTTCCCTTAGGGGAAGGCTACTTCAGTTACTGGAAAATGCAACATCTTCTCCCAAATCTAAATTTATGGGGCATCCATCCTCTAATAGGGATAGCACTTCTGCAAAAACATAAGAAATGAAGGATTACCTCCATAGCTGCCTATAGGAAAATGCAGCTGAAAGGATCTCTCTTTGTTGGAACATTAATGACAAAACTCTAGACTCATATGTAATTGATTCATATGCAGTGGTAATCAATGATTTTATCTGTTGTTATTTTTTACTAACCCACAATTGACTGGGTTCACACATTGCACTGAGCATGACAGATCATAGTGTTTTCACTCACACAATATGCCTAACCAAAATCAAACCAAACACATTATGGTATGATGTGTAATATGTGAATTCCACTTATAACCTTCATATATCAGAAGCAATTGTTTATGCACATAGTGCCAGAATGAAGGAGATCTAAGTGCTGATATTAACTTTTAAAGCCCCAAACAGCTGGGGACAAAACTACCTGCCAGAGCAATTTATTTGTTTACCAGGACCTGACATCATCCTGAGATTAGAAGAGGGTATTCAAAAGTTGAGAGGAAATATGAGTGTCACATGTCTGTTACTCACAAGTCTCAAAGCTTTTACATGTGGACCAAACAGCAGGACCTTGGATATTGATTGAAAAGCTCCAGACATGTAGCTCTTCTCTTTAAGTGCTTTTTTTTTTAATAACTCAAGTATGGATCTAAGGAGGAAAAGGTTGGCTTTCTCAGAATAAGGTCACAGCTGGCAGGCACCTTGAAGAAAAAACACCCGTTTACAAAAAACAAAAAAACAAAAACCCTGCCTGCATTGTAAGAAGCAGAGGCCAAAAAATGGAATTAATGGGAAGAGCCTTGTGTCATCTATATAACCTTTTAGCCAAATCTCTGCAGCATTTTTCCCTGTGGTTTCATGCATATGTTGCAAAGTATATTGGACAAGATCCATCATTAAATCATCCTAAGGTGGTCAATGAACAGGGGATGAAACAGAAACCCCTCCAATACCACTTTATAAATCATTTATTCTGTATCAAGGCCGTCAAGTTCCAGCACAAAGAAATGGTCCAGAGGATTTCATTATTAATGGTACTGTAATGTACTGAAGGTTTCAGGATTACTGGGGCACTCTCTCCCACATCCATCAATTTCCCAGTATTACTATTCATTCAGGTGACCAAGTCCGTTTCTATTCCAAAAGCAGGCTAAAAGCCAAATTGGAATGATTTAAATTACTAGTGCCTCTCATTACCATTTGTTCTAGAATCTCATTTATAAAAGATGTGTTGGAGATTCTGCAAAAACTTTCTAAAGCCTGAGGACTTAAACTAGATATTTCTCAGATGACTGCAGGCCTGTGGTTTCAGTGTTACGTAGGCTGTTCTAACATGTTTTAGAATGTATGCTATGCATTATTGTTCTATTGTTCTATTTTATGATTTTAGCCCATATTTGTTAACTGTCCAGAAAAGGACAGGAAATAAATGCAATCAATAATATAGATGCAATCAATAATATAAAGAACTATCAATAAATAATCTGGAGCAGATATTATTTAAGAAAAATGTCTGTAACTAGATGTATTTGTGCTGCCAAATTTTTAAAAGATGCCATAGAGAAAATTTATTAACTCTCCTTCACTAAATTCCTAACTTCCTACTCTCACCGCATATATAGTTAAAATCCCAAATGATTTAAAAATAATATTCTGTCCAATAAGCATTCATAGGATTGGGAGAAACAAAATCACTTCTGAAAACAAATGTATATTACATTCAAACTGAAAAAAATAGGATATGAAATTTTAGCAGAAAACATATGCTTCTCATCTCATAAAGTCATATTTACAATCCTCCATGGAGGAAAATGGACATTGGGTGGGGATTTTTAAGCAGAGCGGCGATAAGGAAAGGTTAATAACTTTCTTCCCATGCTTTAAACTTTTCAATTCCAATTTCAATTTCCTTCAGATACTGCTTTTTGCAAACAAATGGGCCACTGAGCTTTCACTTCATTATAAAGTGGCAGATACTGTAGCTTCTGCCTTTCAGGATCAACCATCAACAGTAAAGGAACAAGCAGTCAAGAATCTGTCATGGAGTAGCATTTGGTAGAGCAGCCATTAAAGCCTTGTAAAAGATATTCAAAGGCTGTGATGTATTTATATCTATAAAGATAAGAATTGTGTAAGTTATGGTATTCCCTTTGA